TGAGAAAATGTGTGATCACAAGTAACACTACGATGCTACTGGAACGAGTGCTAAACACAGACTGATGTAATATGCGCACAATTCGGGACTTCCCCTCTCCTCGCCACTCGTTATGCGAAACGTCTCTCGTTAAGCAAATCATTTTTTTTTGTTTGCAATTTGTATTGGTCATTATGCGAATTACTCGTTATGCGAGGTGCTCGTTAAGCGAGGTTCTACTGTACTGAACTTAGGTCCTACTTTTATCTGCAGGTAACTTTTTCTCCCTTGATTATACTGTTATTGTCATCATCATCATCATCATTATAATGCAATTAGAATATTTAAAATCCATGTACCTATCTTTCTTACGTGAGTATCAAAGTTGCGATGAAGAAGACACCATCAACGGGAATAAGTTCAGTTCACAAAAAAGATAGGTAGAATATTTTACCGAAGCTATCTACATGATGGTACTGATTCCTCACCAACATTCATGGCATATGATCTAATCTTTAACAAGTCCGGTCGATGCATTCATTTTCCGACGGCAACCCCGTTCCACCGACTCCTAAAGTGGGTGTTAAAATGCCACAAAAAGATTACAGACAAGTATCTCCTTGTCGTCGCACTTGTTGACATAAGCTAAGAAAATCATATTTCTGGCGAACTGTACCGGACAATCAGCGGAAACACTATCTGGCTGCGACCCCCTAAGGGTTGTCATGTTTGCAGATAAAGAGATAGGAAATGGGTGATAACTGTGTTGTCGAGTAAGTTCCAGGTTGTCGTCCTTAGTTTCCAATCTTAACCGAAACAAGTATGGTTTCCCGTGGTTGTTGATTAAAGTGTGTGGTGTGTGTACGCTATGCCCTTCCTCAATTTTCAGTGGTAATGTCTTTTCTTCAAACAAATTTTTTTTTCTGTCAAGGTCGGTTTGTGTACACAACAGACTGTGTCTTTTTTTTTTTAATGGCATGTTTATAGAAGGAATAAATGGAGGAAGAGGAGAACAAGAAAATTAAGGGGGGGGGGGGGGCAATAGATGAGGAAGAAGAAGAAGAAGAAGAAGAAGAAGAAGAAGAAGAAGAAGAAGAAGAAGAAGAAGAAGAAGCTATAATAAACACCAAAAATGTATGAATAAGTCGGTGTTATTGCGTCGATCAGTACAGTAAAAGACTAAGGCATGCCAAAAACACACCAACGTGAGAAACCGGAAAGAAAGCCGATACACTTGTCCATTCACTGAAATGATCAACTCAGCGGGACATGAATGTGCAGGAAAAGTGAACAGACATGGACTGACATTGTTGACAAGGACAACTCGACAGTACGATGAACTAAGTTCGGGGCACTGGAGCAGAACATAAACTGCACTCTTGTCGTCGTTGCTTTCCTCCTCCCTTCCCCTATTCAACACTGCAGCCATCCACTTGCTTCCATGACGCAGACGACATTCATCCCAAAGACAATTCTCTCGCTCAGCACATTCTCACCGCTTCCATTCCTGCCCCAAAAACCAACTGCCCTGATTTCATTTGCCCTTCCAAACCCTTGTTCCCTTTTGATAGAGTTTAGGCTGGTAACTATTCACTCCCCCGTGACTATCTTTTATTTTGTGTAGCCCGTTTACTCACTGTCCTGTTACTCTGCCGCGTCATAAGGGGTTTCCAACTGCCTCATTACAAGCGTCTTATAAATGTATGAACGATTGTGTATAGAAAACTACAGTAGCCAAAGTCGTCCCCCCTCCCCTCTCCCCTTTAGACAAGTATCTTTAAGTACATTGAATGTGAAACAGGTGTTGGAAGGAGTAAACGTAATCGTATCGATCAGCTGTGTTCCAACATGTGTTCATCCAAGATGTTCCGGTATCTCTACTGTCTCTGTATCTAAGATGTTCCGGTATCTCTACTGTCTCTGTATGTAAGATGTTCCGGTATCTCTACTGTCTCTGTATCTAAGATGTTCCGGTATCTCTACTGTCTCTGTATCTAAGATGTTCCTGTATCTCTACTGTCTCTGTATCTAAGATGTTCCGGTATCTCTACTGTCTCTGTATCTAAGATGTTCCGGTATCTCTACTGTCTCTGTATCTAAGATGTTCCGGTATCTCTACTGTCTCTGTATGTAAGATGTTCCGGTATCTCTACTGTCTCTGTATCTAAGATGTTCCGGTATCTCTACTGTCTCTGTATCTAAGATGTTCCGGTATCTCTACTGTCTCTGTATCTAAGATGTTCCGGTATCTCTACTGTCTCTGTATCTAAGATGTTCCGGTATCTCTACTGTCTCTGTATCTAAGATGTTCTGGTATCTCTACTGTCTCTGTAACTAAGATGTTCCGGTATCTCTATTGTCTCTGTATCTAAGATGTTCCGGTATCTCTACTGTCTCTGTATCTAAGATGTTCCGGTATCTCTACTGTCTCTGTATCTAAGATGTTCCGGTATCTCTACTGTCTCTGTATCTAAGATGTTCCGGTATCTCTACTGTCTCTGTATCTAAGATGTTCCGGTATCTCTACTGTCTCTGTATCTAAGATGTTCCGGTATCTCTACTGTCTCTGTATCTAAGATGTTCCGGTATCTCTACTGTCTCTGTATCTAAGATGTTCCGGTATCTCTACTGTCTCTGTATCTAAGATGTTCCGGTATCTCTACTGTCTCTGTATCTAAGATGTTCCGGTATCTCTACTGTCTCTGTATCTAAGATGTTCCGGTATCTCTACTGTCTCTGTATCTAAGATGTTCCGGTATCTCTACTGTCTCTGTATCTAAGATGTTCCGGTATCTCTACTGTCTCTGTATCTAAGATGTTCCGGTATCTCTACTGTCTCTGTATCTAAGATGTTCCGGTATCTCTACTGTCTCTGTATGTAAGATGTTCCGGTATCTCTACTGTCTCTGTATCTAAGATGTTCCGGTATCTCTACTGTCTCTGTATCTAAGATGTTCCGGTATCTCTACTGTCTCTGTATGTAAGATGTTCCGGTATCTCTACTGTCTCTGTATCTAAGATGTTCCGGTATCTCTACTGTCTCTGTATCTAAGATGTTCCGGTATCTCTACTGTCTCTGTATCTAAGATGTGTGCAGTGAAGAGAGCAAATAAAACCACTACACTCACAATCTCCATGGGCGGCAATAGTTTGTACCTCACTGACAGGAGCCAAAGGCGGGAATAGTTTGTACCTCACTGACAGGAGCCAAAGGCGGGAATAGTTTGTACCTCACTGACAGGAGCTAAAGGCGGCAACAGTTTGTACCTCACTGACAGGAGCCAAAGGCGGCAACAGTTTGTACCTCACTGACAGGAGCTAAAGGCGGCAACAGTTTGTACCTCACTGACAGGAGCCAAAGGCGGGAACAGTTTGTACTTCATTGACAGGAGCCAAAGGCGGGAACAGTTTGTACTTCATTGACAGGAGCCAAAGGCGGGAACAGTTTGTACCTCACTGACAGGAGCCAAAGGCGGGAACAGTTTGTACTTCATTGACAGGAGCCAAAGGCGGGAACAGTTTGTACCTCATTGACAGGAGCCAAAGGCGGGAACAGTTTGTACCTCATTGACAGGAGCCAAAGGTGGAAACAGTTTGTACCTTATTGACAGGAGCCAAAGGCGGGAACAGTTTGTACCTCACTGACAGGTGTTCGTGGAGTAAATCAGAAATCACAAGTACATAATGTACACATTATCATAATTTCACGTGTTTGTTCCGGGGCTCCATTGTGGGTGAAAACAAGACTACACTGACTGCCTACCTGTCGACTAAACTGGGAGCTTCCTTCGAAGTCGTAGTGCATCTATCAGAGCGGCCACAGAACAATCAACTGCATCAATATAAGCTGGTAAAACGGATATACACACAGAGAAAATGTCCAAATGGACGAACAACTAGGACTTACGCTGAAGCTTTAGCCAGTAAACATAGAATAAGAAGACCTTAAACATTAATAATGTTATTCTATAAGGATCAAAAATAGGACATATTCTCCGTGTTGTGCCACCAAGCCTTCTGTTAACGTTTTCCTAAATAAAATAGTCATAAAACTATGTCCCGAAAGTCCTTTACGACAGCAACTTTACTCTCTCCTGAAGAACAAGAATCAACACCTTCTGCTCTATTTATTGCGCTTGGCCTCTGATTGTTGGAGTTGCAGGTTTAAGCTTTGCTGTTTCTCGACATATCAGGCTAGAAACAAATCTGCTTACACTAGGATTCACGAAGGGAGTTTATCTCACGGCGCCCTTGGATCATCAAAGATGGCATACTTGTTCGCGTCATAATGGAAAGTACAGCGTGTCTTTCGCTACACTAACAGAGAAATTCTTCTTGCGTTCTTTCTCCGAGCTACGACAAAATCGCAACACCTCCTGCTGACTGACTTCATCTCCCACGCTGATGTCGGCTGTTAGATAGATTCCAAAGTGCGTTTTCCAAGGGCGGAAATGTTTGCGTCAGAGGCACTTGTGAACCAGTTTTTACCAGGTAATTCCCGCATGTTGGTACACATAGATGAAAGTCTATGTTCTTGTACATCAAGATTCTCACCCAGCTCTGTTTTTAGCGAGTGGTGAGAGACCAACCGGGTGGTCGAGATGCTAGGATACTTAAAACTGACATACAAGGCTTGTGTTTATTCCTTGATAACTGAGAGTTCTTGCATTGACATACTTGTATACTCAGTGACTCACTAGAACCGTTCTTCCACATGTTATATCCATGAATGTTTACAACATGGATACCGCCCAACTGTGGATGTTTAAAACATGGATCCCGCTCAACTGTGGATGTTTACAACATGGATACCGCCCCCACTGTGGATGTTTACAACATGGATACTGCCCAACTGTGGATGTTTACAACGTGGATACCGCCCAACTGTGGATGTTTACAACATGGATACCGCCCCCACTGTGGATGTTTACAACATGGATACCGCCCCCACTGTGGATGTTAACAACATGGATACAGCCCCCACTGATAACTACACTTTCTAGGTCAGTTTTCTCCAACTCATGGGCCGCATAAAAGTCCAAGCGTGCCGCGCAAAAGTCCAAGCGGGCCGCGCAAAAGTCCAAGCGGGCTGCGCAAAAGTCCAAGCGGGCCGGGCAAAAGTCCAAGAGTGCCGCGTAAAAGTCCAAGCGGGCTGCGCAAAAGTCCAAGCGGGCCGGGCAAAAGTCCAAGCGTGCCGCGCAAAAGTCCAAGCGGGCTGCGCAAAAGTCCAAGCAGGCCGCGTAAAAGTCCAAGCGGGTTGCGCAAAAGTCCAAGCGGGCCGCGCAAAAGTCCAAGCGGGCCGGGCAAAAGTCCAAGCAGGCCGCGTAAAAGTCCAAGCGGGCCGCGCAAAAGTCCAAGCGGGCCGCGTAAAAGTTCCAGCGGGCCGCGTAAAAGTCCAAGCAGGCCGCCAAAAGTCCAAGCGGGCCACGCAAAAGTCCAAGCGGGCCGCCAACAATGTATGACATGCAACAAAACAAGAATATTCGGCTCTGAGTGAAAGGTCTTACAGTTTGTGAATAGTTTTTTTTTTGGGGGTTGGGGGGGGGGGGGGGACTAGAGCAACTATTCGGCCAAATACGAATAGTGTATCATCATCATCAGGTGCCTTGCCCACTGGCGTGGGCGATTATGCCTCTCCACAATCTGCGATCTCCTGCAGCATGTGTTAGTTCGTATGCTGACACACCTCTATGACATGCAACAAGACTATCAAGAATCTTCTCTCGTTGTCTTCCTCTATCTCTCCTTCCACACATCTTTCCAGTGGTCACCACATGTTCCATTTTTCCTCTTCTTAAAAAAAAAAAAGACCGAAAAAGTGATGAATGTCTCCTTCTGATGTCAGTGATTAGTTCTCTTCGGGCTCCCGCCTCTTTCAAAACCTACTGGTTGCTTTTTTTTTTTTTTTTTAAGCAGTATGATTCACTTGAGTGTGAAACAAGGAGGAACAAAAACTGTTTTTGACGGTGGCGAGGAAAGACAATTTAAAATTCAACTTTAAAGTATCTTAATGCCTTCTTTAATAATGTCACAATTTATACCTAACTTTTCTTGATTTTCGCTGCGGCACCTCTGGCACACGCACCCAGTTTGAGAACCTCCGCTGTAATGCCTCGGTCGAATCAGCAGGCATAGACCTTGCCAGCTGCTGTACCCAGCAACCGGGTCGCAGTTTCCCCTGCTACTAAAGACTTGGGAAACAGCAACCATTATGTTAATCAGAGAATTATTTCAGTCCATCGTAGTGTATGAAGAAACGAGTGTAGGGTGACCACCGTTCACATTCTGCCCGACCGCAAGTATTCGGCCGAATACCGAATAGTTATTAGGTCCACTATTCTGCCCCGAAGCGAATATTCGGTACAGCCCTAATCCTACCTTTGGCACACGCGACTTTTTCTCACAGGGGTGTCAGGTAACAATGCAGTCTCTCGTAGGATCTAGGCTGAGAGGGTCTCCATGGAGGGGGGAGGGGGGGGGGGCGGGGTTGGCGTTAGGACCAGTTGTAGATGTTATGGGGTGGTTAAAAGTGGCGGAAACATCGTTTAGTGTGTAGCGCGGGATATCGCCGGTGATAGTGTAGGAGACTACGCAACTTGACACTTCTGTAAGAGAAAGGATGCATCAATAAACGGCCAATCACGATGTCGTTGGGACACAAAATGTGAGGTGTACCCTATTTTGACTCGCGGGATCCTTTTTTAGAATCAGGTTCTCACTAGTTTAGAACTACCGCTGTAGAGAATACAGCACTATGAGGGTCTTCCAAGGCTAGAGATTTAACATTGAGAATAACAAACACCACTATACCCTTCCCTTGCACCCCCTTCCACACAAACACACATGCATACATATTCAGACGCAGGCGTCATGCTGCAAGAACCGGGTCATTCACTCCTTGCCAATTTAAATTTCATCGCATGTCAATGACGCAATCCAACCTCTTCAGCGGAAATTGATTAACATAATTTATTGCTGGCATACAAGCCTGCCTCGTCTTGGCGTCTCTTAGCGACTCAGTGAATGACAGGTTCCCGCTCTTGTCTGTCCGGATTCCAAAAACTGGGACCACCCAGCCAGATATTTAACATGTTTTCCAAACGTGTACCATCAGCCCCAGCAAAGCTGGACGCCAAGGATATATATACATCCATTAGTTTGGGTATCGATCTTGTAAAGTGACTCATCCCAGCAACTAGAAAGCACAAACTTGGCAAAAATGGGGATATAGGAAACTGAGATATGGCGCCAGCCTCCATTACTGCTGATTCCCCCTGCTCTCTTTGTTCACGACTAAGAAACATCTCGCGCAGTGTTACCACTTTTCTTTGACAAAAAATATCCAAAACGTTGTCAGAAAATATTTAAAGAGATCTGAATCTCCGTGGAAAAGATCTAGAAAAAACATCCAAATTGAAAAAGTCAAAAATTACATAGCTTTTGTTATGACTTACCCTACAAAATCATGTCCTCACCTTCACTGATGTCTGCCCCACAAGATCCAGAGGATAAACTTAGCTTGGATAATGAAGTTGAAGCTTCAGATCCAAAATGACTCTGGTATGCTTTAGCTGTTCAAATTTCTTTATAAGTGGAACAGTAGGCTTATTTCTCTAGTCTCATTAGGCTGAATTTTTCCTCCGAAGTCAGAGTACATCTGCCGAAGAGGCGGGGAACGAGAACTGCAAACAAATAAGCCAGTAAAACGGATGTACACGCAAAACTCAGGTCAAGGTAAAAGCCAAAAGTCCATTTTGGACGAACAACCGCGACTTACCGCCGGAATTCACAGCCGGTGAACAAGAAGAAGAAGAAATTAGGCTGAATTTTAATGGCACGATAGCATTGAAGAGGTCAAATTTCATCCTGTTTTTTAGGTTAGATTTGATACAATTCCTAGCACTGAAAACTCTTTCTACGTCAGCATTTGAGTGGTAGTATCATGGCAGACATGGCACTTTAAAGAGCTTACAGAATGGACTGTTTGATGAGGCATCTTTAAATCGTCTCACTTCACTCCAAAACGCTTTAGTTTCTGTTTTGTTTGTTTCATCACTGTACATTCCATATAGTATTTCAGCTGTGTAGCACTTTTCACATTGTCTTGTTATTTCAAAGTGTGTCTTCAACTTCAGCCATTGCTTCATAATTCTTTCAACAGCTGGTTAAATTGATAACCATCTAGTTTTGCAATCTGACAGAATTTTCGGTGGTGTGGAACCATTATTCAAGGCTGTATATAACGTATTGTATTGCTGTTGTCTGACAAATGATTTGGAAAACTAGTAAAGTGTTTCAGCAATAAGGTATTCCAAATTCCTTGGTAAATATTTAGATGAAGCATGTGATAATGCTAGCTGCAATGAATGACGCATACATTTTATAAGTATTAACGATGGGTTAGCTTCCTTCAACTTGGCATAAACGCCATTGTTTATACCAACCATTACTAAGGCATTATCCGTACCAATTACAGCCAAATTCTTCAAGCCTAACTGTTTGCTGATTAAAAGGTCCTTCAGTTCCTAAACTATACTTTCTACATCACACTTTTCAAATCGAACTAGTCGAAGATTTTTTACAAATCGATCAAATGGTCACAGTTTTAAATTGCGCAGTGACAAATTAAAAACATTGCGACTGATACTTCAACTTTTGATGATTCATTCATCAGTATAGTTATGAAAACAGATGTCAGCGGTGTAATATCTTTAAATGAAACTGCAGTTTTATGCTTTTATAGTCTCTGCATGACTCTTTTGAGTTTTGTATTTTCGCTTCAATTTCACACTTGCAGTACTTACAACAAGCTTTGGTCATATCAAATTTTTTAATTTTGTCATCATGCAACCACTATTTCCAAATTTTTTGCTCATACTTTACTTTTGGCATGTTGAAAGGTTTTTTCAAAGTGAAAGCCACATAAGAAGGTGAGCAATTATTTTTTTTTAATCACATGAAAAAGAAACGCAAAGTCCGCACAGTGAGGATACGGTTGAAACAAAGTTAGTATGATTTACGCGCATTTTTATCGATCAGTACCGGGGCTGCCAGATATTTGTGCCTTGACCTCAGTGAGAGTTCAAAATTAAAATAATGGCAGTTGTCACAATGAACGTGCCAGACCAAAACAAAAATATTGTAGTAAATATTTTTCACGGTAATTATTAAATTGACAATGAGAGAAAAAAAAATCTATAAAATATCTAACTCCATATGAAAAGTTTCTAGAAAAATATTTACGATCTAAACGTTAAAAACAGTATCTAAATGCAATGAAAAAGATCTAAATTTGGATATAAAAGATCCAAAGTGGCAACACTGATCTCGCGCTGTGATAACGCTCCATGCTGGATACATTCAACACAGATTTGGGACGGGGGTTCTCAACTTGTGAGCAAAAGTAGGTCATCATCAATATCATCCTCCACGTTTGCCATCAGTTGTCGTGGGAAGGAATGACTGGTGTTCAGTGTCCGGTTGGTGACTCTGACTCTTGTCATTTGATGTTTATGTACACTGTCTTTACTGTATGGTGACCAGAATATCTTGCGCAGTAAAAGGGACATTCTACTAACATTTTGAGCTGGAAAAGGGACATTCTACTAACATTTTGAGCCGAAAAACAGGACATTCTACTAACATTTTGAGCTGAAAACAGGAATTTTCACTAACATTTATAGCTGAAACAAGGACATTCCACTAACATTTTGAGCAGAAAACGAATTTTCACTAACATTTTGAGCTGAAAACAGGAATTTTCACTAACATTTTGAGCTGAAAACAGGACATTCCACTAACATTTTGAGCTGAAAAATTAACACCCCAAGCAAATCAGTTTAGCCTCACATCACTCCCTATTTTTTTAGGAGGTCACCCTGGTAAGAGGGGGAAATTACTGGCTGGGCAATTGTATTACTAAAACTTGAACCAGTGTGGCCAAGAAAACCACGAAGCAAAATGCAACTCAGCTGCACTAGGTGTGTATGTGTGTGTGGGGGGGGGGGAGGGAGGGGGAGGGGGGGGGGGGTGATGTGTGATACGGGAGGAGGTTGGGGGGGGGGGGTGCTGTTACAAAGCAAACTCCCATCAACACATTTCGGGCATTTAAATTTTTTAAAATTAGAAGAAAAATTAGAAGAAGACTGTAACAAATAAATGGGGCGGGGAGGGGGGGGGGGATTTTGAGCAACAACAAAAAAGAGAAATGAACAGAAGAAGAAAAGACGACTGGAGAGTCAGAAACGTTAAGTTCCAGATTATGAAACGATACAAGCAGAAAACAATAATTACATATTTTATAACCACCGCCCAGGTCTCCCTCGATCGTGTCTAAAGACTTTTGTCCAGAAAAAAACTGTGCGACTTATTCAAATGACTGAGAACCTCTGAAATCTACAGTACGCCAAGTTATGTAATCAGCAGACAGAAATGTTGCTGATACGGCTGACTTTTATGAGAA